CCATAAAATCCTTATTATCCGGACTAATTAAATCCGGACTAATAACATGGTACAATGTTAGAGCGAACAACCATGCAACAAGTAGTGTAACTAACGTTAGCTCGATTGGGGTTTAGCAAACTGTCGCTACAATTACTGCTGTGAAGCTAACCAGTTGCTATCACAAACATAAGCAAACGGGACAAAACAATACTGACCTACTGGTTCTGTGAAACAGCAAAAATAAGTTAATGTTACCCACCTGTCAAGCAGAAACAGGGCAACCTCTTTTATCCCTTTTCTTGTTGTTCAACACTCTCGCGATGAAGCTGAAGTCAGCTTCTTATTCACCAGCTTCTTGTTTGAATTTTCCTGTTTCACCCTAAGTGATGCGGCAGATACAGTATATTCAGGCATCCCAGACGCAGAATAGAACTGCTGCATGATTAAAGGTAGAATGGGAAAAAGCGTATAGGAAGCCGACTTCAGCCTCGTCAACTTCAAAGAATATTCAGTGGAGGAATATTTAGAAGGTGGCTTTCAACTGAGCACACACAGTGCTGTGTGGGCGGTCACTGTCTTTGTCTCTTGCAGAGGAAAAAACAAAATGTGGGGAGGGCCAGCGTTTTTACAGGGCAGAACTAACATGCACGTGCGGCCAGACCAGCTATGAAAACAAAAAAAGGAGAAGCTCAGATTACAACACAAACAGAGGGGGTGTAACTTTATTATTCAACTATATCTTTACATAGAAAATTGTTTGCTGCTATATTGATGTTTAGAATGTTGTGTGTAGAACCTTTAGCTATTTCCAAACCTCTCCTTCTGGAAGCCCAATATTAGTATCTGGTTTGGCTAATCAGTTCTTAATTATGTTAAATCAGGTGTGGTGGTGATGGAGACTAACAAATTCGTATGATGGCTGGAGGTGTCCAAGAGAAATCTGGAACCAAAATTTGTTCTTCAAACTAGCTCATATAACATCAACTACTTTTCTCAAAATACAAAGTTCTCATGACTTTTTAGTATATTTATGTTTATTTGCATTTATTCGAATAATATATGGTGTTTTTAAAAGCAAAAACAGACGTATTGTCATGATAAAAGGTTTTGAATTAAGTGCTTAGGTGCCTAAAACTTTTGCACAGTATTGTATGTATAATATATATATTTTGGGATGGGTTATTTAACATTTACACATGCATATCTAATGTGTATGTTCATGGGGCTCATAGGGGCTCTTGGCCTAGTGCGAAGTCTGCCCCTGTTTTCCGTGTGTGAACGGTATGGCATGTCTTGAAATATTATCCATGTGTGTTTACATACTGCGTCAAACTCTTTTATGTAAAAAAAACATAAAAAATAAAAATAAAAAATGAGCGTAAATGTTTCCATGATATGGAAAATAGTGATGAATGATAAAGCACCATTGAAGGTGTTCCTATAGCAGGCCGGTAAAGAAACGAGTCCGTGTACTCGTGCATGAAATTCAGTTTAATTGAAAACCATCTCAGAGTTTTCAGCATATAAATTGTTTTGGATTTATAAGACTGGGCTTTGGAGGAGCAGCAGTTTGAGAATGTTTTATGAAAAGATGCCATGCTATTTCATTCCTTGGTGATGCAAACACAATGGAAAGAAAGAGGGAGAGAGAGAATGCGAGAGCGCGCGCGAGAGAGAGAGAATGCGAGAGAGAGAGAGGTCTATTTCTACCGCCCTGCGCCTGCAGCAGAATCTGTAAGCTGACCTAATGTGATTTTGGCCAGTAAATGAACCCAGGCGGTGTCAGGGAGTGATGCAGCGTTTGAGGTGAGAACGCAAACGCGCCGTGGCTCAGGAGGGCCGCAGAGTGGACGTGACGGACACTTGCTGTGACCTTTCCTTGTTTTCCTTCTTCTCTCTCTCTCCCTCTCTCTTTTTTTCTCTCATGTGCTCGCTCTCTGTGTCTTTTATGGGAAATAGCCTTGAGCCCCTGATCACTAAATCCCCTGTCACCACAGCTAGAATAGATATTTCATCTGCGAACGCAATCCGCCCAAGCCCAGTGATGAATACTGCACCTTTCTCCAATGTACAGGATGCTGTTTTAATTCTGCACACCAGCCCCATTTGTTGTTTTCTATGAGCTTTTATTCATTTTTTTTTTTCTTCAAAATTTCTGGAGGTGACTTTGAAATTCTCATAAGCTCGGAAGCCATGTTATTTCTTTGTCCTTAAATCTGATGCTCCCAGCTCAGAAACATTGCATTCTTATAAATAAAGGTGCTAAAAGGGGTTATTTGGAGTAATAGCCTGCGGGAACCACTTTTGGTCCCCCGAATGACGTTTCAGTGAATGATTCTTTAAAGAACCATCACTGTAAATGAGATGTGCAAGAAGCCAGTGTTGTACAGCTCCATAGATTTCAAATAGGTAGGAAGCGGGAAAAAAGAAGAAATGTTAGATGTGTCTGGAGTATTACAGTCACACAAAAATGACTTAAATACATAGTTATAGTATAATATTTTATCACAAATACAGCATTTTATGTATTCTGATTATTAAAATATTGCATAAAATATCTAGAATATCTTTTAGTGTGTTGTTTCATTTCACACTAAATGGGCTACTACTATTTATTTTCAGAATTTCTGAAGATGCCCTTGAAATTGAATTAAGTGTTTTACTATGCCTTTAGGACTGATATACGTAAATTACGTCTGTCCTCATAGGCTGCCTTGTATTGCGCATCATTCAAAAAGCAATCCGGACTGCATCACTCCTCATAACTTCAGCGTGATTCAGTGGGGCTAAACTGCTGTACACTAAACTGAAATGACATCACAAACCTAAATTCCAGACAGGCTTAGTTTCCATGTATGGACGGTGTGGCTGGGGAGTGAATGGCATATCTTCAAACTTTAACATTGGTTTTCTAAGGAGCCTGGCTGGTGACATCTGTATAAATAAAAATAATGCGTGGCCACGCCGTTTTAACTTGTGGGAACGTGATCATAATGCAGTGAGATAATAATAGTGGCCATGACTTGATTAGGTGTGGGAATGAGGTAATGCCTTATTAAGCTGTTGTCAAGGCTTAATCATCTTGTTCCCATGATTACTAAGTTGTGGCCACGACTTAATTATCTTGTTCCCATGGCTTACTAAGTTGTGACCACACATTATTTTTATTTATACAGGATATCATCAGCAGGGCTCCGTAGTTTTCAATGATATGGGCACTTCAAAAGAGTATAATATTTAATCAAGTATACAGGTTTTTACAGGGGTCTTTTATTTTAAAATAGCAATGGAAAAAGAGTTTTCCATGATATGGACACTTTACAATATTAGAATAAACTTTAATCAAGTATACAATATGTATTTTTTCTAATTATTGACATTTTAAGTAAAACATCTAAAAATACCTTCTAGTATGTAGTTATTATATTTCTATGCGTGCTATCTAGGCTATTGTTCTGAATCTGTTTATTTTTAACGTTTCTGAAGGTGCCTTTGAAATTCCCATAAGCTCAGAAGCCACATTATGTGTTTGTCCTTAAATCTGATGCTTTGAGTTCAGAAACTGTTACATTCTTACAAATATAAATGCTAAAAAGGGCTCTTTGGAGGGATACGCTGGAGGAACCACCTTTTGGTTCACTAAATAATGTTTCAGTGAGCGATCCATCATTGTAAATAAAAGGTGCAAGAATAAAGAATCTTGTTAAAGGTTTAAGAACGTCCACATGATTTAAAGGTTCTGTACCAATCAAACATACATTCAAACCAAGAACCATTTAGGAACCTTCATTTTTGTGTGAAAATTCTGATGTCCATCTCTATAAACCATAAACCAAACCAATGGTGTGAATACTGGCGCGGTTATGCTGCTGTGTCTGCAATAGATTTTGATTTTAAAGCGCAACTGAGTGGAATTTTCCTGTGATTGAAACTAATGGCCCTGATCTTCTTATAACATGAAGTAACGATTTAGAGGGCTATTTTTCTGATCTGTGCCTGGAGTCACTGTAGGCCTTTTTTTCCTGGTCCTGCCTGACACATAAAACCTTCTCATGTCAGCGTTTCTTCACTACTCTCTCTTTAAGGCAGCAGCTTATGTAGAGAATGCTGCTCTTTGGTGAAAAATCACTTTCTTCTCTTATGTGTGCTAGCCCTTAAATGCATAGCTCAGGTTCCTGGGTTATTTTTATAAAATGATTTATTTTGTTGTATTTTATTGTATTTTACTTTATTGTCTATTTTCATTTACATTTTTCAGCATCAGAAAAAAAGCAGAAAGCATATATTTAACATAAATTTACACAGAAAGCTTCCATTATTTTCAGGAGATTTGCTAGCACTTTTTAAGGAAATATGCAGGGATATTTTTCTACACCTCCAAAGTTTAGTCTTAGATGCTGGTTGAATTTTCATGCATATTCATTCATAAGCATGTGGACAGAAACTCCTGTTTATTTCCTTATTTTCCTTTGACTTTCTTCTTCCTTTTGAGGAGAAAAATGAATAACCTGTACTTAATGGCTGCTTTGACTGGAAATTAAGTAAAAGAAGTTTCACATACATAAATCAGTGATATTAAAATATGTTGTTGCAGACACACATATAAAATGATTTTATTACGATGTTAGAACTCTACAAATTCATACGTTTCAAAAACGTAGGAGGTTGTAAAAGAATAGAAAAGAAATGTGAGATTAACTAGAATGATGAACATAAGGAAGACGTTGTAATACACTTAATATATGAGAAGTGGTGTAAGTGGTAAAACATCTAAAAACACCTAGTATGCAGTTATATTTCACTCCACACTGCATAGGCTGTTACTGAAAACATTGACAGCAATCATTAATACCACAAACCTGATTCCTGGTTAATGAACAGTGCTGTAAGTGTGGATGATCTGAGGTATGCCTGAACAGTTAATGAAACATCACATTTATAGGTTAAAGGTTATGTGTTGATTGAGCCTTGTTTAATGTTCTGTGATATTTACTCTCCATTCTGTTTATTTGATGCAGTGAGTCAAGGGGGGATGGCGGCGGATATTTGTCCAGATCCAGGGATTCCAGAGAACGGGAAACGAATTGGCTCCAGCTTCCAGTGAGTCCTCACCCTGCTTCTCTTATTTGCTACACTTGTCCGGTGTAATAGGAGCTGCATGGCTCTGTCGTAATTAGAGCCGACCCTGCTGTTTGACATATGCAGTGTGAGCCTCCATGCCGCTGCGCCGTCAGGGCCTGGGACGTACAAGTCAAATTTGCTCAATTACAGATGTCCTAGTGGAGTTATATTGCCCCGATCGCAATCTGAATCATTTTCGTAAGTGCCAATAGCATGTTTTGAGCTAAAGTTTGTATTTTTTGTAGAGAACAGAGCCAAACAGTGCACATATGTAGTAAAATTAGCAAACCTAATCCAATTTAGGCTGCTAACTGATTTAAAAGGCTGAATGACCTGGTCTACCTTTTGGACCACGTTTCTGAAATGGCCGTTTATGGTTTTCAATAATGTACTACTTCCATATTTCAAGGTGCTCTAACATGCACAAAGTTGTGTACTGACATGATGTTACTACTAAATGTTTAATAGCTGTGCACACACACCTACGGAACAGGTGGTTATGTAGAATCACACACTTTCACTGTTCATTGGTTTTGCTGTGGAGTGTTTGGTACAGGGCATGCACCCACAGTCAGGGTTGCCAGGTCTGCAGTTTTCCCACCAAATTGGGCTAGTTATGCAGTTACGGACAACCATTATAAAGTTTCAGCTTTTGATGGACGGCTTTTAAGCAGAGGTTGCGTTGGAGATTTGTTGGACCTGGCAACCCTGTCCACCCAAAAAACAGGTATGATAACCGCTGTTAGCTAATGAGAGATGTTTGAAGCTAATAAAACTGAAAATGGCAACCTATAAGCTTAATAATTAGTTAATTCAAAACACCTATAAAAATTTTAGAAAATGTTGCACTGCCCAGCTGCATCTCCAAGGTGAGACTTGATAAACTAACTTAGTGGCATATTACTGCCAGAAGTGTTGCTACAGTAAAGTGTAAATGCTATATGTTGTTAAATGTTGCAGAGAGTTTTGTCAGAGGGAATAAAAAGCTGATCAAAGAACTAACATGGAGAGGCACCAGTACATTATTTGGCCGTTGACCAAGCACTCCAGTTTTACATGTGGCTAGAAGAAATGCGGCTGGCAATCAGAACACTAGAATTACAGATATTACAGTGGCTTTCGGGCTATTTTAACGTTCCACTTAGTTCCAAACTGCACAGATTCAGGCTTAAACATGCCTCACTGACGTAAGTGAAGATGGTTGGGATGTAATAGAATTCAAGTATTGGCAATAAACATTCACAATATAGAGATGAAGAAATGAAGTATGTATATTCAGTCCATGTCACATTTTAAAAAAGGCAGTATCTGTCAGTGACAGTGATTATGAGCCACAGTCTAACCAGGGTTCAGTCAGATATTAGAAATGTAAAACAGTGGCAGCTCTATTGCAGGACTCTTTACTAAAGAGTCACTGTGAAACTGATACGTAGAAGGTAAAATATATTTTACAAACTTCAAATGAAATGAATGTCTTTTATAAAGTCTAAATGGCCATGTTGAAAATGTTCATGTGAATTGCCATTAGCTTAGCACTAACATACTACTAAAATCCCACAGGGGCACTAGCAGAAATTAACATTACATTAGAGGTGTTTTTTTCCTTGTTTTTTGCTGTCTTTTGACATTTACATCCTGAACTGAAGGCCTGGCTCTAATTATCTGGGCTTGCCACTGAATCGATATATAACAAGCAGAGAAATTTTGGAAAAATAATGAATATACATGTTCAGTCCATAGTACATTTTCTTTGTAAGTATAATAAAAGATTTGAATTTGATGAGAATTTTTGTTTTTGACGAAAGAAAAATTACTCTTTACAGTTTTTGTCATGTATTTGTCATCTTTTGAAGTCAAACACTGAATGAAAAAAGTAGACTAAAAACTTTCAAAACAGAATGTAAATCAAATGTAAATGCAGTTGTTTACAAAGCTAATCTGTAATGAATTATATAATTGCATAATTCTATTGAAATGACATAGAAAAATGGGACATACTTACGCTTGATAGTTCTCAAGCTCATCCGGAAGACGCAGCCTCCTCAGTGTAGCCTGAAGTCTTGTCTCTAGCACTCAATTTAATAGAACTGCTTTGGGACGACTGAGAAAATAAGGGGGCTAAACTGGGCCTGAAAAAAATCCTTGTTTATTGCAGGTTTAGTGACTGGAAGGCGAAAGTCCGGCTGCTGAGACAAGCGCTTCGCGAATTGCATTGCTCTCCCACCACCCTTTCCAATTTGACAAAAAGAGAGAGAGAGAGAGAGAAAGAGAGAGTGAGAAGGCCTGCGAGCTTGCAATGAATGTGTGTGATTTACGTAGCAGGTCATTCGCTGACGGTCATTTTTTTCCCCCCTCAAACTCCCGCAGGGTCGGAGCCAGCATCCAGTTCTCCTGCGATGACAGCTATGTGCTGCAGGGATCAAAGAGCATCACTTGCCAGAGAGTGACTGAAACCCTGGCTGCCTGGAGTGACCACAGGCCGATCTGTCGGAGTAAGTGCGAATATGGCTCACCCCGGCCCTGTCCCGACACTTTCTGTAAGGACATTGTCAAATGCTGTTAAGCGAGATGCGCGCCACATGCCAATGAAGAGCAAAGCCGTGCAATCCATAGTTTTATCCGGGGTAGCATCTGGCAAGGCCTGCAGAGTTCATATTCTGGTGCACTGCAATTTAATCACGCACATGCACAAAAGACATAATCCAACCACCACGCCATACGTACTGTTAATGCTTTTGTTTACACATAAATCTAAACATGAAGCTGTACATATTATGATGGCCCAGCAGAGAAATAATTCACTGCTAAAAATTATATCATGTCAAGTGAAATAATGTTAAATCTAGTTAATTTATCCACTACTTCTCATCTTAGATTGTTATAAACTTATTATATAAAATTATTATAAAATATATAAAATTATTTAACTTTTTTCTAGACCTTTTTATTTTTTTAACTTGTTTAAAGTAATTTTATTACATGAAAATATCTCACCATGTTGGGAGAAATTTTGCTGGTTTCAAGCATATTTACAACAATCAAAATTATCTACAAAATAGTGAGATCATTTGATATATTGACTAGATTTAAGATCATTTCACTTGCCAAGATTCTTTCTACACTGCAAAAAAATGCTATCATAGCAAGTGGAAACATCTTAAATGTAGTTAATACATCTAATATTTCTCATTATGAGATTGTTATAAGAATATTAGATTATTTAACTGATTTCTATACATTTTTAACTGTGTAAAGTAATTTTATTTAGAGAAAGTCTTATTCTGTTGGCAGACCATTTAATTTTGTTTATTTAAAGCAGTAGTGCTCGAAACAAAGTATATGTCAGTGTAATAAGACACTTTAATATAATATGATAAAATGACAAGCAAAAGTGTCTAGAAATAAGTTAAATAACTTTGATAATGAGAAATACTACGTGTTTGCTACTTTTAAGATGTTTTCACTTCCTAAGATATCATTTTCAATTATTTAAGATGCAAAGCCTGTGCACTCTTTTGTGGCAGCCTTTCTACAAAGTCGTATGATGTACAATAGCCTTTTTGTGCCCGTTGCAGGTTTTTGGCAAGGCATTCATTCTTTGTTTCCCATCCGCATTCTGTTGTTTCGTGCATCCGCCTAGCAAATTAATTAGACGTGATGTTTGCTTTAATTACACTCAGTCATTTTGAGTGCCTACCCACAGTGCCTCTCTTCACATCTCAAAAATGCACTAACCTGGACAGAAGCCTCATTTAAATACACAGTTTCAACTTTAATTAAACTTTTGCTTGCTTTTTGCAAATGTGAATGTCTTCTCACTGCACTATGGTGAATTGATGAGTGGTGGCACAAGGAAAAGAGTCTGACGAGAGCTTGTTCAAACACAAGATTCCGGACCAGGGATTTGCGTCCCTTATATTTTAAAGTTTATGGAGAGTTTTGTAAAGTCTAATCAAAAATATAGCCAGTTTTTTTTTTTTATCACAGTTTAAGATTGACAAACTTTTTTGTTTAAAGCCCGTAACTGATGGCCATGCTGCCAAAAATGACTGATTAGGCCAGGGGTCGGCAACATGCGGCTCTTTTACTGCCCTATTGTGCGGCTCAAGAGCAGAACTAGATTTTTAGGTAAAAATAACAGTTCTTCTTTGCAGTAAAATAAAGCTTTGCTGGCCTTTAAACTGCAGGTTGGCATGCAGACTGCTGGTCACATAGCATCGCAGACAACAATCTCGCCTAGCTAGTAGCTAACGAAAAGGCAAAGCGAAAGATTTAAGGCGAACATTGATAGTTTGGAGACTAATGGACTTATTTGCGTTCATAAGCACTCAAATGGTTTCCTGATACGTTTAATCTGCAACGAGAAACTGTCAAACACTAAAAAGCCAAACACTAAAAAGTAGCTGCCGCATGAGAAGATGACTTAAGCCTTGTAAAAGATTGAACATTGAGAGACAGTTTACAATAAACTATTCTACGGAGATGCGAGAAATGCGGCTATAGCTGAGCTGAAGCGTAAAGCAGAGCAAAGTAAGTCTTATTATATTTTTAGCCTGCACTAGTACATTAGCACGTTCTAAGACATATTTACAGCAAAGATGGTACAATAAACATAAAATGTTGTGCCTCCCAAGGTGGTTAGATTTTTGTTGAAAGGACAAAATGGCTCTTCTTAACATTTGGGTTGCCGACCCCTGTCATAGGCAATGTATCAGAAAAAAAAACTAATCTACGAAAACAGGAGATATACAGGGGAAGAAAAAGTCATCCAGGTAAAACTCTTATCACTGCCCTTATCTTCTATAACTGCTCTTAATAAGAGTGTCTGCATAAACAGTACTGTAAATAGTACTTCTTTCACTGCCTCAGACAGCGCCTCCTACAGTACAACATATCATAGCATATGATTCGTGCTCATTCGTCCACATGTTTATTTACTGAAAACAGACATTGATTATTTCTAATTTCTTTGTTACTGTATTTTAGTTCTTATTGCAATAAATAGTCTAAATATCTTTGCCAACAATTTGTTTACAAGTCCCGTTGCATTTCTTAAAGGCTGTTTCATCCAAATAAGTGAAAAATCCCTCTTTTAAGCCATTTTAGAAAGAATGCATGAATATTAAGATCATTTATTGCTGAAAAATATAATGGCCATAAGTAGAAGAAAACATCTCTTTATGTTACTTTTAATTAAAATGAAATGCTGAAGCTTAAAAGTAAGAGATGTAAGCATCAACAACACAGTCCAGATGCTGAATCAACCGAACAGAATCAAATTAAACATAAACATTTAATTAATAACTCAAATGAAAGGAGCTGAGTAAGAAAAAAGATTAGGTTTCTCACAAACATACTTATGTACAAGAATTATCATTTGAAAACACTCAGAAGTCTAAATCCATCACAGCTGTCCTTAAGTACATGTAACTGAATAAATGTATGGTTGCTATCCTCTTCTGTTAATATATGATAAGAGGACAATGTGAAAGTTTAAGCTTTAAAGTTAGGGCTTATGGAATTATTTGAAGGCTGTTAGAAAATACAAGTTTTCCTCTGTCTACAGAGCTGTCTTCAGTTTAAATGCAAATTCCTGATTTTATCCAACTCTACTATAAAAGTAGGGCAACTAATTAATTTAGTTGGGAGAATCTTTCACTGAGATTTCAGTTGCAGTATTAAAGATTAAAGATCACACTGATAAAAGTCAAGAGGTGAGTTTATGCAGAAATGTTGTGGAAGACCTTGCCCTACCTTTCTAAACTCGAACAACTGAATTTTATTACACCGCATAATGAATCATACAGAATAACCTCCTCACTCATGCAAACCAAACTGAAATAAGCAAAAATAATGGTTATGGGATTTTCTCCTCTGATTCCTAGGGCTTGTTTATGTGCTGCATTAAGGGGTCATTTTGATTCTGAAGCCTCTTTATTCAGCAGTATTGTGTCTGTTTCATAGCTCTTATGTTCATTACCCCTTTAGGCCTTAAATAAGTTAGTTTACACCAAAATTGCTTTGTTGTTCACATGGATTCTACTGACAAAAATAGGTTTTGAGTGAGAAGTTCAATTATATAGAATATAAAACATAAATAAAAAATAGAGTTGTTGTCGCTGTTGCTGATGCTATGTGCATGTATTGCTTTATAGTGAATATTGCAGTATAGTGAACTAAACTATACTGAAGAATATGCTATTCATTTATTATTAGCCATTTACCTTTTATGATGTCTTTCTGGAAATGAAAATTAATTCATAAAAAATGGCATCTTTTAGATGGCTGCTATTTTGGATTTAGTGAAGGTTTTATAGTGTTGTTCTTAGAATTAGCAGCTATTCTGCATGAACGTGTCATTTGTTGTGTATTACAGTATATTACTGTTTTTCTTGCTTTTAGAAAGATCTACACAAGGTAGAGATCATGAAGTGTTTTCCCTGGGGATGCATTATATTTTAGTAGCTGATGTATTATTTGACCATAAATGAGGAAATTCAATTACTGTTATTATCAGTCTGACATTGGAATTATAGACAATAATTCCAAATAATGATTTGGCACCCTTTTAGCCTATTTTTAGTGCTTTATTTTTAAGTAGTATACCTGTTTTAATTCATTTCTCATTCTTTGCAACTGACCTAAAAGGCATGGTGTATAACATGCCATAATAGGGCTTCTATCCAAACATTTTTGTAATTTTTTTTGGAAATGTTGGTAAAAGAAAGTGTAAATTGAATATGACATGACCAAACATGTGACTGCAAAATCATCACTTACTGACTCCTTTATCGTTTTCCACATTTCTCCTTTGTCAGTAGACCAACTATTCCACCTCATCCAACTTCTTTTAAGCTATTCAGGCATTTTTGTTTGGAATTCCTGTTTTTTTTCATCCTTTTTTTCAAATTGTATGAATGAGAGTTATGAAATTACAACATTTAACATTGTTAAATTTTCAAAATGTACCGTTCATGCCTTCATTCCTGCCGTTTATATATGGAATGTAAGCTGCAAATACAGCCTGTTTTGAATTGTTTGTTTCTGTGATTTTCCAAAATCCTAATTCCAAAAGGCCTATTCAGCCTATCAGCCTATAGCAGTTTAGCCACACCCATTCACACTGAAGTTATAAGGAGTGTCTATAGAAGCGTATTTGCATATACCAGTCTTAAATGCACAGTAACAAAAAACAGCCTGTTTAAGTCTATGGGATAAAGAGAGAGTGGAAATGGTCATGTAAATTTGATTAATGACGATTTTTGGTACATAAAACCACACAAATGTTATATGTGGACCTTAAAGGTAAAAATAAAAGTGAAGAAACATTTAGGATAGGGGCCCTTTAAAGTTTTAAGAACCACAAACCTGTAATGTGTAATGTTATGTGTCGACCACTACAAGGCATTAATTTGGAGTACCATATCAACCCAGAAATTCTACACCAGCGCATCCCTAGTCTCACCCAAGCAACATGCTTGACAGTGGACGCTGTTTTCTCAGGTTGCATGTAAGGGTTAAGCTGAGACCTGGACCGGTTGCTGTCTTGAAAGGCAGTGAGGACACAGGCCCCCTGAAGACATTAATCAAAATTAAATAAGGCAGTATTTCAGACCTTGAGGCAGAGGAGTAACCGTGTTTGACAATTTCTTTGCGCAATTCCCCCACATCGCTGATTGATCCCGACACTTTTTGTCTCGGCATCGCCAAGTACCCTCTTTAAAGATAACACTTAAATAGCTTTTTCCCCCCCCCTCTTTCCGGGGATAAGTTAGGGGCTGAAGGTATAAAACAGAAAGTTAAAAAACTCTTTAGCCTCATGATTTAATAATTCCCTGCGGGTTTTCTTTTTTAGCGCACCTCTTGAAGAGAATCATTGGTGATCTCAAGAGATTATTTAGACTTAATTACAGACTACGTTGCAGACCTATAAATGAGGAATGGCTCCGTTTGACTCTTCCTCGTTCATTCAACACACTGGCTGTTAGGTAATTAACAAGCCTTCCGTTTTTAGTGGATTGTGTGTAACATCCATTTGCAGCTACACAGACGGGGCCAAAAGCCACCGCTGATTCTACAGAAATGTGAATGAAATACATTTATTTATTTATTTTGCAAAACAATAGTTAAGCAGCGCTGTTAATTTATAGGTGCTAATCATATAGCCATACCTTTATTATTACTCACAGCAAATACTGGCAGCTACAACTGAATCCAAATCATTCTTTGCTTCTTGTGAATGAAGAAGCTAAGAAGCTGATGATGTCTGTTGTTTAGCATCTAAGCAATGAATGAATGAGTACCTTTTTTTCATAAACAACTGATGGCCAGAAGTTAATCAATGAAGCACAAAATACAGCATCACACCACAGCAGTCTACAAATCATTAAAAATAAAAGTGCTAGAAAGCATTCTTTGCATGATGCCACAGAAAAATAGAAAAATATGGTTCTTTAGAGAACTATATTGTAAAATGAGATTTGTGAGTGTGAAAAGCCTGTTTAAAGGGCCCAGAACATGGAAAACTGAATGTGAAGTAGTATATTTTAACATTATTACATTTTCAAAATGTGCTGTTCACTCCTCTGTCAATACAGTCTATATATGGAAGCTAAACTGCAAAAATAGCCTTAAAGACCTAAAGTTCTAAAGTCCTAAAGGCACAGTAATAAAAACAGCCTGTTTAATGCTAAGGGATAGAGAGAGTTTGGAAATGGTCATGTAAAAATGAATTTTGTCCATCTTTGGTACATAAAGCCACACAAATTTTGAAATTGCTGAAGAACCTTTACATTATGTGAATACTGCGAAGATTTATAACTGAAAACAAGTGAAAAGCAAAAGAAAATCTCTTAAATGTAGTCAATAGGTTGTAAGAATACTACAAGATTATTCAGCTTGTTTTTATTATGTGTACTCCTTTTAAAGAAATTGTGTTATTTCATTGGCAGGTCATTTTACTTGTTTTGAGAAATAGTGCAGATAGTTAGCCTTAGTTGTAGATAGCCTATTTTAAGAAATGCATAAAAAGTAAAATGATATGCCAAGGGAATAAGGCTTTAATGAAAGAGAATCACTTAAAATAAGTAAAAATGGCTAGAAATAAGTTCTTAAGTATTCCAACAGCAGTCTCATAATGAGAATTAATGGATATATTGATTAAACTTGAGATGTTTTAACTGGCTAAGATATTCATGTTTGCAGTGAAGGTTTTTTATGCCTTTATAAGGTTATTCACACTCTCAAATCTCATTTACAAAAGTGGTTCTTTAGGGAATTAACATGGTTCTTCTGTGGTGTTACTCAAAGTACCCTTTTCTAAGAGTGAAATCCCGCTCAATACTGGTAATATTAAGTCTTCTGAGTTCTAGAAAGAAATTTTGTCGTTTATAGAACAGTCCACTGCTTAGGGGTTAAAGAAGGATTATTGTGCTCCTTTGCTTTTGATGAGCCTCTTTATAAGGGTCCTTTTTATGTCTGTGTTTTTTTTTTGTGTGGGGACTTTACTCCCAGAGCTTCCAGAGTGATTTCAGAATGTCCTCAAAGATGAACGTGAATTCCCCATTTGAGAATATCTGCAGCCTAATCTCTTCACATCTCTACCTTTCCAAAGCCCTGGCAGAGTCCCACCGAGGATCAGATGAGGCCACAGTAAAGATGCCAGCATGTTCTTTCAAGTTGCCAATGAAAATCCTCGACTAAACCCAAGGGACCATGAGCAGTTAATACCTGCTCAGAATAAACTTGGTGCAAGAAAAAATATGTCTACGCTATGCCAGAGATGGAAATTATACAGAGGCGTGAATCACAAACGAGGCCATATTTACAGACTGGTTCTTTTAACATTTCCAAATATTGAATATGATACAGGGTTTGGCATCGTGAATCCATACAGTAATAGTAATGACCAATGTTGGGTTAGTTGCTCAAAAATTATAATTACAAGTTTACTTTTACTCACTACTTCCTAGAAAAAGTAATCTCAAACTAACCTCATTACTTTACTTGTTACTGTGTAACTCTCTAAAACCCCACAAACATCAGTACCAATTGGAAAGTAAAGGTGAAAAGCCAGCAGTCCTTTTAGTATTTTATTTAAAAAGAAAACAGAGTAAACATCATTTAAAATGTCTATCAGTATCCCTGCTTTCAAACAACACAGTCAAATATACTAAGAACAGCTGATGATGTTTAAAACTGATAAATTTGCCACGAGAAACAGTCTAAAGTAAAAGCTTAGTGTTGTTTCTGACTAAAAATGAAGTCTGTTTAGAAGAGGATGGATTTATATTAGTGTGATTGAATATTTCGACAGGTCAAAGCAGTTCCTGCAGTTGCGCTGCTTATATTCAGAGTTGTGCAGGCAGATTTAAGAGAAAACACACGCATGATAATTACATACAAGACAGTTAAAGATGATCTGTGTAGAGGAATATATATTTAAAATACCTCACTCATATTTAATATTTCTCCTCTTGAGACATAGTCATATGCAAAAGTTTGAACCCTTGGTTTTGTTAATTTTTTAAAAAGTGAAAATAAAGTATTACATCCTCTACAGAGAACAAACTTAAATATTTTTAATTCTTAAACATTGTTCTGTACATTTTTGTGCACAATTTTTGTTTTTTGATGAGTATAACAAATTGGGAAAAACAATAAACAACATGGCTTTTGCATAGGCCATACTTTATGCTTTATTTTTTTTTCCAAATATGTTAACTTCCACAAATACACAGTAATTGTGGCTAAATCTACATTAAAATATGCAAAAGTGTGCTCTATGTAGAGGATATATTGGGTTATTTTCATTTAGGAAATCAACAAATCATACAATTTAACCAAGGATGCTTTGGTTACTTGCTTTGATTTTGGTTATTTGATTTAAGTGGCCAATATCTTATATTTTTCTTTTCATTTTTTCCTCTGACTCCATTTACAACATTTTTGTGGTTGTATGCACCAAAACAGTCATATTTTATTTTTACATGACCATTTTTGCACTCTTTTCTTTAAACAGGCTGTTTGTTACTTCGCCTTTAAGACTGTTATGATTGGCTGCCTTCTATTATGCCTCATTCAGAAAGCAGTCCAGACTAAAACAATCTCCTTTTAACGTCAGCATAAATGGGTGGGGCTAAACAGCTGTAGGCTGAATAGGCAGATATATGTGAATGTACTGGTACTCATAACATCAAAAATACACTGAATTTTAAACAAGTTGTTTTCACAGCTGGGATAGGCTCCAGCTCCCCCGTGACCCAGAAGGATAAACGGCTTTTGTGTGTGTTTTTACAGCATAGTTTCCATATATGGACTGTATTGACTGGAATCGTATGTTTTGACACTTTAACAATGTTTGCATACTATTCTTATTCCAAAAAACAAAGGAAATTTTGCTTTTACGAGATAACAGCTTCTTAATAGGTTGAGTTGGAAATGTGATAGCAGATTAAGTTTAGCCAGTTTTAGTAAATGTTGGATCAACAACATACACAGCACTGAATTTGAAATTCGTTCCATAAATCAGTGAAGTTCAGGTAAAGGGTGTTTTTTTTTGGAGTGCTCCTTTGCCCTTCTTCAGTTTTGCATTATCTTGTTTGTTTTTCTCACCTTTACAGCAAGAACCTGTGGCTCTAACTTGCGAGGTCCGAAGGGTATTATCACGTCTCCGAATTACCCCGTCCAGTACGAGAACAATGCCCACTGCGTATGGGTCATAACAGCGGTAGATCCGGAGAAGGTGAGTCTGCATTTTTTTTTTACTTTCCAGATAAAGCATTGGAACGAATGGTTATGTGGGAGAACAGTCCTTTTCTGAGAGGAGTCAGAGCATGCTGTTCTTGTGCAGAGTACAGACAAGCCTCCAAGAAACATGAGGCTGTAGTCTTGCATAAATGTCAGGAAAACAGTTTGAAATATTTCTGAGCCCATGAGCATAGTGGTCCGCCAAGTTTTTCATAATGTTCAACCTCTTGCCCTAGTTGTCTAAATTATTACTGTCACTTCCATCTTTGTGCCTGATTAGTTTTAACCACATATCTGTAGCTCTGTATCTGTCTGAGCACTTGCATTACGATTTTAATGGACCACAGTGACCTTGACGTGAATGGGCGTAACAGTGCTTCATTCAGCCATAGACACTCAGATATTATCTAAAATAAAATGTAAGTACATGCTAGACAGATCTATATTTCTTTCCTGTTGCAGTTGATTTAATGTCGGTTTATGTATGCATGGCCTAATATAATTGTATCTGCAGACCTTGGAATAAATGTTCCATTGTACTCTGTTGTCATTAAGGATGCATTAGAAGTAAGCCTTACCTTTTGACATTACAAATGAAACTGATTGCATTATCGCTATAATTGACATGCTAATGGAGGTTTACATATTTCCCCCTATTTATGTGCCATGTTAAATATCAATTATCATATAAAGCAACTGTTAAAAGCACAAATACACCTACCATTACTTTACAGTGTTATGCAAACTTTGCTCAGTTTTCTCATTTCCTTTTCCCCCTCAGAGCTCACTGCAAATCAATAGAGTGTGACAAATTGCTGTTTTCTTGAAAAACTGCACGTCATTAAAATGAGTCACTGTACAAAAAAAGCAGACATATTCTGTCTAGTTGCTACCCTCGATTATCTACTGCAGTGGCAAAGAGAACATCAGATCCATCATATGGATGTGCTATAGTTTTATCAAAATTGGATTACAGTTGAATACGAAGGTTGGGGCACCCTGGTTTTGTTGAAGTGAAAATATGTTTGAAAGTTTGAACAGTCCCTGTTTTGTTGATTTTGTAAGAAATACTAAGTTAATACACACACAAATCTGCACATTTTTAATGCACAATTACTGTTTATTTGCTGAATTTAATGTATTGGGTAAACAAAATAAAACATAAAATGTGGCCTTTGCAAGAGTTATGGTACAATTTATATTTTATGTTTTATTTTTTTCCCAATGTGTTAATCTCAGCAAACAAATAGAAAATGTGCATTAACATTTGCAGAAAAAGTTCATAGTTTGTTTCTTATAGAAGATGTGTTAATCCTTTAAATGGCCAGTTTTATTACAGACTTCTATAAACTAAGAATAGCACAACCAGTTTGCATTGAAGTCCTATCAATGCAAGTAGTTAATGAATAATAATCCTTAGTGTGTAATAAGCCTGGGATTTTAAGCTCTGATGGCTAACTAACCAAGCATTCCACCAGTTTGGGTTCCTCAAGTTCAGCTGTTGATCATATAACCTCTCTCTGAGCTAATTGAGACTTTGTTGGTCCTTCATAATTGTAATCCAAAACTGAGATCTATTCAGACTTTCTTAGATTAGCAAACTTATTTTGCAGCAAAGCATCACATAACAGAATTCCAATTTAAATACTTGAGTGACTGAAACAGTTAAAACTGCAATGCCATTTTAAGCTATGTGATATAGTGTTGTGAAGAAAAGCAACATACATGTTTTGTATTACACAAACATTTTTGACTGTGTTATCAGTTTCACCATCAGCGATGCCACAGCCATCCATGGATAGGAGTCTAAGAGAACAGTCTTCTGTCTCTCTGGATGGCCCTTTTTCTCCACTCATCACTCAGTGCGATGCTAGCCAATGCGGGCATCTGTTTGTTGACATAACAGAATTAGCAGTTAGCATTTTCCTCTAAGCCAGTTGAGCTCAGGGGTTTAGCCACGGGAAAGCCTGGCCTACCCAGATTCGTCACAGACACAACCAGTAATGTAGGGAAAGAATATTTCATTAAGCTGCATTTTTAAAAATAATATTTGATTTGTTTTCTGTGACTACCGTCATTGTATTATTGCCAGTCAAAGTAATTATGCAAAATAAGGTATAGTCCAGTCAACCAATCCCAAGCTTTTTATTTAGCATCTGTTGCTATCCGCAGTTGCCTCAAGCCTTCAGGTCTTTATCAGCATGCCAGTGTTAAAAAGCAATTTTGATGCTCCAGATGTACTTGGGGCATGTGTAAAAGTGGGATATTGTATGGTAAATAAACATTTTTCACGCCCACGGTGACAGTATGCTTTATCCTAGGATGATCAGGTTTAAGTTTCAAGTTTACTGTGATTTTTTTTTTACACGTATCTTCTGTCTGCCTTTTTTTTTCCTTCCCAGTTTCTCCCCAATTTAGTCGTATCCAATTCCACCCAGCAGTTAGGACTCCCCCAATCACACGATACCATCAGTGCTAGGAGGGCGAAAGCTAGCACAGGTGTCCTTCAGGACCTGTGAAGCATTGCCGCATCTTTCGAACTGCCACTAACGTAGCGTCGTTGAACAGCTGAACGTGCTCCGAGAAAAGCGCTGACCTCCAGTTCTGTTACATCAGCCAACAGACGCCTGCACTAGCTAGCATCCACTGGGTGATGCGGGAGACGGGCGGCCATCCTACCCACCCAGAAAGTGTGAGGCCAGTTGTGCTCTCTTGAGCTCCTGGCCATGGATGGCTGTAGCATCACCAGGGATTGAACTCCTGTTCTCCTGATGATAGGGTCAACGCTTAGGGCTAATGCCCGTCCACTGTCTGATTTTAACTTGTTTTTGTCAGCTTCATTGGGCAAAAGATATACCTGTGGCGAGCAGATGAGTGCTTTATAGTGAAGAGTGATGCAGTGTTGCTTGTGTTTAAGCGAATCAAGCGTTCTTGTTGATGCGCAGACAGTCTTGGTATTGTTTGTATTGCCATAAGGCGGAAGTGTTGGAATAGGTAAGGTGATGACTAGGCTGCTGTCAAGGAATAGGCTATGATGTTATGACATTGTGGGACATTTGGAAATGGTATCTATCTACAGTTTTCACAGGCCTACCCAAAAATTGATTTCTGCCTAAATCATTGATTGAGCTGTCCAATGACGTTGCATGAGCATCAGTTTAAAAAGATGCAGTGGCATTTTACAGTACTCGGAGGAAGCTTGTTCTAGCTTTGTGTGATAGGGAAAGACCTGATTAGTGGGTGGAATTGCCCACTGCTAAATGGAGGAGAAAACTGGGTAAAAACTCAATAAAAAAGGAATAAAGATATAAAACCAATAAATCATAAATTAAATTACAATAAATACAAATTGAAGTACATATAAAATGAATTGAGGTGTTTGCATATCAGAGAAATATGTATAAAAGTGTGAAGGAGGGAGGGATAGAAAGAAAAGATAAGAGGAGGCAAGATGCTTCAAAGCCAAAGGAGAGACAACATGAGTTCTTTTAAGGTATTTGGGCCATCAGTTATAGCATACAAGAGAATTAAGGCTGTTTTACCAGTCCGAAGTGATGCATGTTAATGACGAACAGCGTCCAACAAACTACACCAACCCCACTGTGGAACAGAAAATTAAGGCTAGTGTTGATGCACCCAGTTGAGAGTAGCTTCTGAGAGGCCCATAGTCATTTATCACGCTCTAGCTTTATGCCTCTGTCACTGGCCGAGCATCTGGTGGTGATGAGCACATGCTGTTTCTTTCGGACACGCTCGGCCCGTGTTCTCCATCATTGTGGTGCTGGAGCCCCGCAGGATGACTGCTTCTCTGTCCTCCCGGTGGAATGAAAACATCCTTTGACTCTGCCTCTTCTGAGAGGAAAAGGCTCTTATGTACGGTGTGCTTCTCTGGCTAATGGGTATGTTGGTGGCAGTCATGGTCGCAAATCTGCTGGGGCTCCACATGTTGTGACAGATTCAACTGTGGCCCATCACTCAACGGCGTCTGCATGTTATAGCCTACTCTCTGTTTCTTCGGCGGTGGAGTGGTGTGGGACCATCACAGACTCGGGAAGCAGAAGTGGGAAATGTGTAGAGACACTGTACTTAAGTGAAAGTTCGGGTACTGTGTCAAAAACTTACTCAATTAAAAATGGATGCATAGAGCCACAAATATACATATAAATGTGCTTGAGTATATAAAAGTAAATGATTAATGTAGAAGCCTAGATCAGCATTTCCAGTTTTATTGTTTTTTAACATTTAAGTAACTTCCAGTAATACCCCTTGCAGCCTAAACTAGCAATTCTGCCTCGTCTTAACACTTTACAACAAACTCTTCTTGGTAAAATATTCGTAAAAGTACACTTAAACACTAGGATAAACTAGGCATGCATACATTAGAGGTCTGCACCAGTATGAAAATGAAGCCTGAACCCATCTGTACTTTAAGACCTACACAACCAGGCCCAGCTGATACTGCTATATTTAAAACCCAAACTCGACCCAAACCTGTTCGCACTGACATTAAGAGAGACTGATTGTCACAGTTTTACAGGGCTTTGCTTTGTTACTAAGTGATTGAGTTGATTGATAGAAGATGTGGAGTAAACTGGTAATTTTCACATCTGTAATACACTAAGTGTATTTATGATCAGTACATTTTTGTGGAATTACTGATCGTACCTGACAGAGAACAGCCTTCACCCTCTTCTCATAAACTTTTAGCCCCCCCAGCACCAAAGTTCTTCATGCTACTTCTCCTACCGCAGAAATGCTTAACTCACTTCTCACAAATTTAACAAGCAGAGGAAAGGGTTTGCTGTAACCTTTCACCAACCCAGTACATCGCTCTCATCATCCCCAACACGTTCACCCACTCCTCAAACTCTGAAGCTATACTGAATACTGCTAATGTTATGAGAGAGAGCAAGTGCAAAAGTGAGAATATCTACTACATGAAAAATCACTCATTAAAAAACAGGTCTGAGCTTAACCTGAGTCCAATGCTGCATG